AAAAAAAAAAAAAAAAAAATCAGATTTAGAGGAAGAGTAAGCGAGAAAGAGAGCAAAGCTAAATTTAAGTGTTTTATTGCAAAATCCTTTAAATATCATTATTCATCCTATTTGAATCGGAACATTCCTACAACTATCATACTCCACGTCACTATCACCCATCCTACTTCAACCGCTCATTTTACTTTCTTTAGTCTAACATAATCCACTCCTAATTTTATTGCTTGAATACGATTCACTTCATAGTGAATCATAAAAAAAATTGCACTAATCCAGATCGTCACCTCCACGAAGTTGCCTCCTCCTTTCTTCCATTGCGAACTGCTGCTGCTCATCAACAATGGCATCTCCATCGGGATAAAGGTTTGTCGTGTTGTCACACTTGTCTAACTCAGTGCTTCAATCAACGCAAGCACCACCTCATGCAATTTTGTCTCATGTCCCTTATTTATGCTCGCCAGAGCATTCAATTCCCTTTTCATATGCTCGATCTCCTTCATAAATTGCATTGACGAATGGGCATCAATGACATTCGCCAACAAAATTCTCAAAGTGTACAATTGTTCTCTGTAACGTGGCACCGTGCCATTCGTGAATCCCTCATCACATCGATCAGGAATAGTATCCCTGAACACTAAATCCATCAACTCTTCCCGTGTCTGCTTGTACAAATGTCCAAGCATGATCACTGTTCCCCTCAACTGACTGTCACTTACCGGAAACTTCATCGCATTTTGCACCTCTAAAAGTGCATTCCTGTGTGCCAGCTCCGAACCAACATTTTGCAATGACTCTAATATAGCAATCAAACGCATTTTTGGAAGGTCTTCCGAAGTTGCACTTGATGGAATCTCAAACAGGTCCAAGGCTAAAGAAGGATCAATCGATGGTAAAGCACCTACCAACAATATTTTTCTTATCCCACTCTCCGCTTCTCCTAATCGCCGACGCAAATCCTCACACTTCTGCAACAGGTGTGGGTGAACTCTAGTACTAAGCTCACAAACTTCGTCTAACAAATCGTTTCTAATGGACGATTGAATTAAACGTTTAAACTCTCTGTTAATCTCCTCAGCAGCATCCGCCTCCTTCTTCACAAACCTACCACCGGACACAGAGGAATCTCTTACCTCTTCACTTCGTTTCGCTTCAACGAAACTTTCAACCACTGCCCGTGCATTCAACTCAACTTTCATAAATGCATTCTTCAATGCATTCACTTCCTCCTCCTTCTTCTTCAACATTTTTAGCAGCTCATCCTGAGTCCATCGAAGGCCTTCATTGTCTGTGAGGTAGCGGCCACATACCCTCTTCAACGCAAAATCAATGGGAAGCTTACCTTCAACACCATACCGCAGTTTAGGCCGAGGTTCATGCAAACGTTGTTCTCTCTCATGAATCTCGTTCGCCGCGCTATACTCGTACCGTTCCTCACACTTCTCAATGTACCCATCTTTCAGGTGAGCTTTAATGAGTGGATGGTCAAATGACTCGGATACATCAACATCCCGATTAGACCGCGATGATCCCTCAACCCCCCTTTCCGTACATCTGTCCACCACCACGTTGGTTTCACTAGACACTTGTCTGTCTGCAGAGACCACCACGAAAAAAACAACGAATATATGAATAATAACAAAATCAGACGATAATCTAACCTGTATTAGAATGTAATACTCATTGCCATATGCCAACGCTACTGTTTAAGGCATAAAAGAAGAAGTTAAGCAATCAATCAATCAAATTGCTTGATTCATGGAATCACACACACATACACACATATACAGACGAAGATAAATCGATAGATGGAGAGAGAGAGAGAGAGAGAGAGAGAAAAAAAAAAAGGCACTGTCGCGTCGACCCCACCCAACACCCATCAAGGGCTCGACTTCAAATTAGAAGCAGTTGTGTGCGTCCATGCAATAAAAAGGCTCGATCGCGTCGACTCCGTCGAGGCCTCGACTTCGAATTAGAAAAAAAAAACAAAAAAAAAAAACAGCAAGCACCTAACCCCGTTCTACACCCGGACCCGGCGAGCAGCTTAGGCCTGGGCGTCGACCGAACACCCAGGGTGCAGGCCCAATCTGGTCCTATTCATGGCCCGACCTTTTAAAGGGGGGAAAAAAAAGGCTCCCGGCCTGCACCTAGCCCGGTCAGCTCGTTACCCTTGGGCGTGGACCTAGGATTCAAGCCGAGCCTGGCGCTGTCCCCTACATGTTACATGCCTGGTCCTGTGTGCCCACCCTTCCCTGGACCTGTCTCCCTCGCCAGCTTCCAGCCTCTGTCCCCGACCTGACACTCGGGCTGTCTCCCAAGCCTGCGCCGAGCCTGTGTTCCCAACCTGCGGTTAGGCGGTTGAGTTAGGTGCTTGGTTGGGTGGTTGGGTTAGGCAGTTCGGTGGTTGGGTGGTTGGGTTAGGTGGTTGGGTAGTTGGGTCGTTGGGTCGCTGGGTGGTTACGTGGTTGGGTCGTTGCTTGGCTGGTTGGGTGATTGGGTGGTTGTCTTGATCGATGGTTGTTTGCGTGGTTGGGTGGTTGGGTTGGGTGGTTGGGTTAGGTGGGTGGTTGGGTAGTTGGGTTAGGTGGTTGGGTGGTTGCGTGGTTGGGTGGTTACGTGGTTGGGTGGTTAGGTGGTTCGGTGGTTGGCTGGTTGGGTGGGTGGTTGGTTTGGTGGTTGGGTGGTTGGGTGGTTGGGTGGTTGGGTCGTTGAGTTACCTTGAGTGCAACTCCGGGCCTAGAGCACCTAGAGAACTGGGCCCTAGAGGACCTGACCGTAGACGACCGGGCCCCTAGAGATCCCGGCCGGTACGTGGGCCCATATTGGTCGGCGCCTGTACCTGGGCCCATATTGATCAAATATGAAGGTGTACCGGAACCCATATTGGTCAGGACCTGCACCTGGGCCCATATGGACCTATAATTTGGTCAACTGCTCCCAGGTGCAAACGGAAGTCAACCTAAGGAAACACTATATAAAGGTTGACTTCCTCCACGGTCATCAATGGAAGTCAATCCATGACCTCCTGCAGCCCTGCTGATATCGTCAAAACATCGATAGGCTCCATAGCTTCACTCTCTCTCTCTCTCTCTCTCTCTCTCTCTCTCTCTCTCTCTCTCTCTCTATCTATCTATCTATCTATCTATCTATCTATCTATATATCTATCTA